TCATCTAGCATTTCTCACAACATTCAAGCAGACTCAGGCAGGTGCATTTGTACTGCCAGCCCTGCAAATTATGAAAGGTGCATTTAATGAGTCTTGATGAGACAAACTTATCAAGTATAAGTCTGCCAGGTTATATGCCAAAAGCTATATCCTGGAGGAGGTGGTCTAAGCTAGCTTTTCTTCCTTTGCCTTAGGCCCAGATACAAAGTACTCTGCTACGCAATCTACCAGAGAGATGACACAGCCCCGCAGTGAGCAATGTCTATGAGGAAGTTTGCTTGGGGCAGTGGCTCCCTTAAAATCCTGGCTGCTCTAAATGTGGCATGCTCCCAACCACTCATGGGTTTTCAGGGCCCCAAAAGCCTGTAGAACACAGGACAGCATGAGATTTCTCTGATCCCAACTTCCCAGACTACCGCCTTATACTACCATTTCATGAGGACTTCGTTGTTCCCACTGACATGGAAGAATCTCAAGCACAAAATGTGGGCCTCTCACACACCTGAATCTCCCTTGGGCCTAGCACTCTGAAGAGCCCTTAGAAGATTCTCAATCTGAGTTACTAATGCCATTGACATTCTAGAACTGAGTCTGTCCTGACGATTCACTCCTTTCCGTTTCTTAATTGAGTATAACAACTGGCTGCTCTGGGCACGGACAGAATTAAGCATTGAAAATCCATAGCAGGCAAGAGGATGTGATCCTTGTTAGCAAAGTTCACCAGCTAATGGCAGGCAGCAGTGGGTTGGCTGGTCTTCCAGAATATAGGGTCTTCCCCATAGAACCCCTAGCAATGGCAGTTTGGACCTATTTTGCATTAGTTTTTACCCCAGTGGGAACCCACTAGGGAAGTGACAGTCTATGGAGGCTCCAACAAGGGTCCTTCATGTCCCCAAGACTCTGGAAGGGAAACAAGGACGCCCATGGCTCTGGCATCGGCTTCCTGACTCACTCAGGTTTTTGTCTTCCTTTTTCTTTTAACCCTCTTGCAAGGAAATCTATAGTTTGTCCAGGATGTTGGGAACTTTCTTCAGCTTGTCTTTACCCACACCAACTGAGAAATTTCCTCTGCTGACTTGTTAGTAACAGCTGTTGAAATTCCAGCGAGGTCTATGTATGCAAAAGTACACTCACAACAGAAATTTACTTTATCATCCAGCGAGCTCATTAACCTCTTATTTCTCTTTCTCAAATACCATGTGTCAGGGCTGACAGGGTGTTAAGCAGATCCAGCTAGATTAGAGGAGCCTGCTGGAAGCAGGCCTGCCCTTTCTGTATGTCATAGCAACAAGCAATTCCAGGTTGTAATCATAAAGTTGGAGACAAGTATTTATGCATAGGAAACCATTGAGAGTGTGTAGAGAAACACGTTCTTCTACTTCCCCTCCCTTGGGAGCAAAAGAAAATGGCAAGTGAAGCCATAAACTTCAAGAAAATAAGTACACCACCTAAACCCCAACTTCTTTGGAAGAACTCGCTGAAGTTCTTTCAGAGGTAATGTCTATAAAAAAAAGAAACTATGAGAAAAGGGTATAAAACTCAATTTGTTGGTTTGAGTTTATTTTTTGGATCCTAGACATAAATTTCAATCCTTTCTGCCCTGAGAAGACCAAGTCCCAAGTCCTCCTGACATGCTGAAAATGACACTCTTCCTTTGCCCGCTGATTGTTGGAAAGCCTGTGAGCTGGGGCGAGGGGAGCAGGAGCGGCAAGTAGGAAAAAAACAATGGTGATTGTGATGATGGACTCTGGGCATGACAGTGTGTGTGTCAGTGCTAAGGTGTGTGACTGTGACAATGGTCATGTGTGGACATCGTTTGTGCATGCTCACTAGACGCATGTGTGAATCAGTGTGAGAAGATATGGGGTGATGGGGCTTATACTACCTCAGTGAAGGCTTTAAGTCTGTGCCAGACGTAAGTATGTGGCAGGGGCAATATGCCCATGGAAGAATCCAGGTGAGAGTCCACAGCAGTTCTGGAGCATGCACTGTCAGTCAGGGTATTTGTGAACCAGGGTCAGCTCTGGCACTTGGGGCAGAGTGAGCTCTTGTATAGTGTGTGGCAGGATGTGGCACGGTGAAGCTCAGCCTGAGTGTGAGTCTTCTGTGGCCCTACACAGGTGGTAACGCTGTCCGTGTGTGAGGACCGTGTGTGTATTTACATAGGCTCACTGTGACCATGTGGATTATGTGGGTCACTGCGGTGCCAGGTAAGGGAGGTCGGGGAATGTGCCAACTGTGCCACTCCATGAGTTTCAGTGTGAGTGTGTGTAGCCATGTGGTTGAGGAGATGTCAGCACGAGAGAGGGCATGTGGAAGAACGTGAAGCTGGGAAGAAATCGTGCCACTGTGAATACTTGTAACGAGTGAGCAAGAGCTGGAGCATGAGGGGGTACACGCACAGACATCAGTGCGAGAGTGCCCCTGTCTATGGGATTGTGTAGGGCGTCCATGGTTGTGAATGGAAGAGGAAGTGAAACTGCAAGAGTACACGCATGAACAACATGGGTTCCAGAAGCGTGAATGTGAACCTGTGTGAGCTCCGAGTGTGAGTGCTTAGGCGGATGTATCAGAGTGCATCAGGGTGACTGTGCCAGTGTGTGTGGCTGTGTCTGAGCAGGAGAGCAGGATGCTGTGCACCAGTCTAAAGTCTGAGCTCATGCAAAAGAAAGGATATGAGGATCTGTGCCCGACTGGTGGAGAGCACAACTATGTATTGCTGTGAAGGTGAAGGCATGCATGTGAACGTGTGTCAAAATGAGTGTTTCCCTGTGTAAACGTGATTATGTGTGAATGACAGGTAGCAATATTGTGTCAGTGTAGTCTAGGAGTGCAAAAATGTGCAATTCTGAATGGACATGTGCAAGAAAGTATAAAGTAGAAATGAGTGAGATGGTGCTCACACTGTGAACACGTGAACATATGAGCATGTGTGCACGTGTGCATCCCTGTGATGATTTAAGACATGGAAATGGGCAACTCTGAGGGGGAAAGAGAGACATCAGTGCAAACGGGCTGCAGTGTATGCAATGAAGGGCCCGTCTGACTGCATGAGAATCCAGCAGGGCAAAGCCAACCTGTGCATATGATTGCAGAAGAAGTTGAGGGTTGACAGTCACTGTGTCATTCGAATGGATGTGAGTGCATGAGAATGCAGAAAGAACAAAATGCCAGTGGGTGAGAACTGAACGAGAGGGTGGGGTGAATGGCAAGCGTGCGTCAGTGAGGAAATGCGACTGTCGGTCTCTAAGTGGTGTGTTTGTAAAGATTGTGTGTGAAGGAGGAAGAGAGACTGTCACTATGAGTGTGTCCAGGGTGAAAAGCAGGTTAGTCAAGAAGGTAAACAGGACTGTGTGACTGTGTGAGGGTAAGCGAGCGTGCTTGTGAGTGTGGGAGGTGTAAGCACAGAAGGGCACCAGGCCAACTTGGAAGGCTGAGAAACTCCGGGAAGCACCCTTCCTCCCAGGGCCACAGCCATGTGCCCAGTTACAGGCAAATGGCTTAGCCTCTCAACTTCTGTCTCCTCTTGGTGAAAGCAGTGGTATTGCCTACCCTGAGCTAGTATCACCTTTATAATCAGAAACAAAACCGGCAACTATTACAATACCTACCTTGCAGAGTTACTGGAGGATCAAATGAACTCATGTATGTAAACTGCCTAGCACAGTAGACGCTGACACCAATGGACAATAAATACAATTATTATGGTCGCCATCAAAGGATACCCAGGAGAGATCCAGGGGCTCGCTTCTTACTTTAGTTGGTTCTAGTTACCTTCTGTCAGTCAAGGTCTATAGAGGATCCCCTACCAGAGCATCTCTAGAAAGCTGAATGCATCAGTATCTGCAAGGCTGTAATTTCATACCTCAGGTTCACAGCCGAAGCTCTGGAGCTTGCCCTCCATGAGAAGGCATTGCAGAAACACCTGCCACTGAGCTGTGTCCTCTGTGTTCAGGACAGACTCAGTGGGGAAGGGAACTGCACCACACATTCCTTGTTTGGATTTTGTTTAGTATGCTTGTTTTTCCTTTTGGGTGGGATGTTAGAAGTTTCTGACTTGGGCATATGAGAAATGCCTACATAAATGGCAGAGACATACAGAAGAACAGACAAAGACACAGAGAGGGAAAGGTACAAACAAGTAGCTGAACAGATGAAGCTATAATGGCTGCCTGAGAGGCAAGGAAATGGGGATTTGATAAGAGAAGCAGACCAAGAAACCAAATTGAAGTGGCAAGAAGAGAGGGGTAGATCCAAGTCAAAAGGCTGAATGGGGATTGTCACACCTTTGCAATGGAGACAAGAGACCCTTGAGATCTAGTCCCTACCCCTGAAAAGTCCAGTTTGCCTACCAACATGAATATGCCAGGAACCAGGGGGAAATTCTTTAAAACAACAGAGCAAGGGATATAGCATGTGCTACATACTTGAGCTGAAAAGCTGGGGGTCAGGGGGAGAGTGCCTCCTAGTTGGGTGAGAGCAGGAAGGTTCTGGAAAGTTTTGGAAGGCTCAAAGTAAGCCTGCCAAGTCCAGAAGCTCGGATGGGTGCAGTAGGGCTAGGTTTTGAATAGGAAGGTAAAATTAAGGCTATGGGGAGTAGGTATTGCAGGAACCAATTGGAAAATTTGTGGCACATGGCTGAAATGCTACTTTGACAAGTGGAAAGCAGGAGGAAAGGAAAGAACAGGTTGGTGGAAAGCATGTCTATGACACTTTTCAGATGGAGCTTGACATTTGCCAAGGACTTGACAATGACTATTAGATTGTTTCTCCTACTCATCCCAGGATGTAGGTCAAGGCTGTCATTTCCATGTTAAGGACAGGGGAACTGAGAGACCAAGGGCAACCAGACAGGGCAGAATCCCCTGGAAATTAGGGGCCATGCCCTGGGTGGTAAGGCCTACGCAGGATCTTAGATTGGGGGGGGGGTTCTGTTGGGAAGGTGGCATTTACCTGGATTTGGAGATCCCTAACTCCCTGCCCTGGAGTCCATTACTCACCTCACAGCGCCACTGCTGCAGGACCTCAGCACAGGCGGGTACTGCCCATGAGAAGGGGCCGGGCTGCCTTCAGCTCCGATGGACTGGGTGCTGGGCACACCAGCTGCCACAAGATGTAGGGACTCAGCTGCTTTTTCTTGGGGGAAACCTGCCGAGAGAAGCATTGTGGGGGAGCAGGAACCTCTTTCCCCACCTGCTACTACTCCCTCATCCAAACTCCCAAACATCACAAACACTGCAGTAAATTTCAGAAAATCCCCTAAGGAGACAGAATCAGAGTCAGAGGCGAGAAGTGTAAACAAGCATTGTTACGTAGGAGTATAGAAAGGGCATTGAACTGGGAGCTTCCAACTGAGAACCGCTGACACTTCACTACCCTGGAGTGCCTGACAGTCGTGTGGAAAAGGCCTGTCCCTGCTCACCTTGGACAAGTGTTGGGAGGACTCAATCAAATATGACACATGTGAAATGTCTGCAGAGCTGAGCAAAGTACAATGGCGAATCTTCCCCAGGACCTGGCACCACTGTTCAGTTTATTTCCTCCCTCAAGTCCCTGTCTTCAACTTCATTTCCCTTCTCAACCACCTCCACTGGGGGCTGGGGTGGGCGGGCTCTGAGTGCCCCCCCTTTGCTATCCTCTCTCAGCTCCCGAAGGCCTCAACCTCTGACCCTAACTGAAACCTCCTCTTGCCTTCCACCAATCACTTGGAAGTTGTCTTCACAGTCTCCCAAGATTTATTTGGGTGCACGTGCACTTTTTTTGGGTGATTACAATTTGCCTTATCTTCCCCAGGTGGGTTTCCATACAAAATCATGAAAGAAATAGGGTCTCCCTTCTTCCTCTCCTTACCATCACCTGAGCCCCTCAAGGAAAAGACTGGATTTTATTCAACAGGCCGCCAAACTCTGCAATCCCTCATACCTTGCTCCTGCTTTTCTCTGTGGTGTCTATCCTAGAGGCAGAGGTGTCTCTAAAGTAAGCAGCTCCTCTGTGTAACTCCCAATCAGGGCAGATTCAAGATAACAAACATTCTGCAAGAGGATTCTAGATTGTACAGAGTCCTAATCCAAAAACATGGACAGACGATGCATGAATGACTATCTAAAGGTGGGGGTATCAAAACTAAGTTTCATACAGCCAAGGAAAGCCCCACAGTTCCATTTCTCCTCAAATAAAAAGACCAAACCATATCCCAGACCTGCCACTCACTGATGGAAGACTCCAGAGCACTGCTGTTCTCCAGCACTGCTGGCATTCCCTGTGTGCTTCCCTCTACACACTCTAAGAAGCCTTGCCAAATACCACCCACTGCACCTCTGTGTGGCGTCCCTCCCACCCCTCGTGAGCTCATTATGCAAAGGCTGGTGGGTGGGTGGGAGAATGTGGGCTGCCCAAGCACCAGAGAGGCAGGGCTCAAGATGAATGGCCACAGGAAGCCCCAGTCCATCTCCGAGACTGAGAGCTAGTCTCAGGCAGGCAGCATGCAGTCAAGGAGGTGGGAACTGGTGCTAGAAAGCTGGAGAGGCAAGGGAGATGCACCATACTGTGCTGACCATGCGCCTCCAGGTTTCTGAGCAAGAGCTTTCTTTAGGCCTCCATCCACTTGCCCTCAGTGGCTTATTAACCTGTGGGAGGTCGCTGCCACGCCACCAGGTGCACAGGTGCAGCCAGAGCAGGTGTAACTGGCAGGATACAAGGCTCCAGTTGCTGGCCGCACTCCTTATGTGTGTCTAGGAATAGGCTCTGCTGGGGATATAGCCTTCAGATGAGCACATATGGGGTCAAACCCTGGACTCCCTGGCATCTGTGTGCCTCTGTACCTTGTGTAGCTATACAGTGTTACGTGTCAAGCCTGTATCATGTTGAGTTTGCACGCAGTCATGTTTACATCATGTTCACACCATGTTTTTAGGTGTGTGCTGTGGCAGTGCCATGACGTGTTGCACCAAGGGTCTGCACTGGGCTGCAGGTGTTAAGTCTACATTGTGCTGTATGCATGCCATGTGCCTAATCCACACTGTGTCCTATGTCTGAGCCACTCAGTACTGTGTTGTGCGTCTATAATGCCTTGGAGAGTCTGTACCTGTGGCTTAGCCAACTGCTGGAGGCAGTGGGCAGGACCAAGACAACATCTTGTGTCCATCAGCACCCCAGACTTGCTTCTTTCCAGCAGCTGTCTAGGGATGAGAAGTGCCACCCTGCTGTGGGGCAGAGGGCTTTCTCCACCACAGCATGTTTCCAAGACAGGGCCTAGCCCAGCACTGAAGACAGCTGGGAAAGGAGTTGCGGAACCTTTCATGGGTCCAAAGAAGGAAACTGGGAAGATGGCTCACTCTCTCTATTCCTAACCCCACCTATATTTAAGAAGAGCCCGCAGAAAGCTGCAGCTGCCTGAATCTCTTTATGCCAACAGAAGGACCAGTCCTCCCCTACCGGGAATAACAGCTGTGCCAGGGGTGAGCACTGCAGTTAGCATAGGATGCATGAGGGGCGCTGCCAAAAGCGTGCCTCTTGCAGTCACTAGAGGGCGCGGTTGCGCTGACTGTTAGGGGTAGTGTCTGTTCAGGAAGCAGAATTACAAAAATAAATAAAGACCTACCTGGCTCAAGGGAGATGGAGGAGAAAGATAAAAGAATCTACACTCTCAAGCCAGGCCCTTCCTCCAGTCTCACCCCTATTCCTTCAGGGCCACTAGTGAATACCTGTACTGCTTAGATCTGTTATTTCACCCCACCCTTACAGCTTATCAGGGTCTTGGTTATATAGGTCCCCAGTAGAGTCTTCATTTGGGCTTCTTTTCTCCTGTCTGTTCCCTATATCACAATGAAGTATATGTAGAGGCACACTGCTGAAAGATGAAATGTGCATAGAATTTGCACATTTATTTTATATTGTTTCCCAAATTGGAAGGCATACCCAAAAGAATGTGATTTAGATGAGTAAATTGGGAGGGGAAGAGGAAGTCCCTTAGTGGACCTGTCTTCGTTACCAGAAAACAAATGGATCTGCATCCTGAAATGTCATGACCATCTCAGAAACCACCTCACTAACTTTATCATTTGAAACACAAGGAAACTAATCCCCAGAGAAAGGCAGAGACATTCAGACCAGAATGCCTGACTTCCGACTCTCCACTGTACAGGGATCATCCCATACCTGGTCCTGGTCGTTTAGCCCCTAAATTCCTTCTGTCTCCCAATACAAGCCCTACCTACCTCACCCATAATCTGGGGGTTCCCCTCCCAAAAAATCCTATTCCATCTCAGAGATCAGTTACCCAGGACTCTCAGGGACCACACTTTCGGAAAGACTTCCCCTCCCCACCAGTAAAGTGTTGCTCTCTTTCCAGTCTTCAAGGCCCACCTCCCGCATTTTGCTTCCCACACCCAGACCCAGAGTAGTTGTCATTTTGCTCATCACATCCCCTGGGTGCAGGACAGATTGCCCCAAACTGCAGATAATTGACCTGGTGTGCAGGTCAGACACAGACCCATTGCATTGATTCACACTTCCTATTAAATCCCCATTAGGCTATATAAGTGACTCCAGTAATCAGGGCATATTTAAATACAAGGTCAAGAAGCACAGTAGGAAGCAGCACATTTCTGAGGGTAAATGGAAAAGGCCTGGCAGACCCAGGGGTTCATCTGGGTCTCTGGTATCCCTAAACATGTCTTACATGTATGGCTAGTACTTGATCTGAGGCTGGGGCTTCACACCTGAAATGGAGGACACAGGCCTGGCCCACCGTTATGCGCCCCTTTCTGCCCCCTGCTGGAGAAACCGCAGAGTGCCCAGTTGGCTGGGGACTGCACACCAGGCCCTGCCCTCCTCTGACAGGTGGAGAGGGTGAGGGACTGCAGGGCATTTGAGGTTAAAGATGCACCCCAGATGCCAGCTGCACTTACCTTCTAGGACAGTGGTTTTTCTTCTCCCTTGTTTGCACCAAGTCCCCATGGTCCCAGGGGGAACGAGGGCTTTTTTTTTTTGAGCACAGGTTCAATAACCCGCGCCTGGCCCACCCCATGTAAAAGCAATTAACCTACCTGTCTTGGCCAGATTCAAAGCTCCCTCCACTCCCCTTTGGGGCCCTGACCCCCCCCCCACTCCCTTCTCCTTACCCAGGAGGAAAGAGCTGGTTGTTGAAGCTGCTGCTCATCGAGTCTCTTCTCCTTGCCTTGACCAAAGCTACTGGCTCCTGAAGGGGTGGGGGGGGGGGTTTACACAGGTGGGAATGCTATTGATACCCTAAATATCAAGAAATGGTGCTTCTAAGTCTGGGCTGAGCCACAGGTGCCTCGACCATCACCATTTCCCCTGAGAAATCAGGACTTTCTGGTTCCTGGTTAAGACTATAACTTTTTGTCTTTTCCTACCTACTGCTTTGTCCTGTCTGGTCCATCTGGTCTTACCTCCCTACGCATCTGAATTCTCGATCTGGTCTTTTATTTTTGCCTTGGCTATCCTGTCTGGCCTCATAGTGGCTAAGCCTCTGCCCTCAGAGTAGCTGAGTCTTTGATGGGGGCAGTACCTCGCCATCCCCCAATATTCCTCGTTTCCCTCATGGCCACATCCACGCCCCTCTCTGGCCCTCCAGGTCATCAGTGAGCTTGCTCACTCAATTCCACTCCAACCAGCAAATCTGCAACCTGTAGGAATGGCCAGCTAGTGGGAATGTCTCTAGAGTGTTAGTGTCCGCTTGCCTGAACCTGTCACATGTGAACATCCTTTTTCTGTTAGGCCGCTCCTAGGAAGCGCACTCGCCTGCTTGGAGGGTTGGATCCTTGACTCGCCAAGGTCCTTTTAGTTGGAGATTCTCAGCAGTCGGCTGCTGTCACCCAGCATGTACACGAGTCTCTTCCCATTTTGCTTCTTTCATGGGAGAAAGGAGTATGACATTTGTATCCATAAACAGGCTTACCAGGTTCTCTTGACAAGCCCAGGCCTGTTAGTCATCCACTACCACATTAAACCCCTAAGCCCAAAGGTGTCCCTGATTAGGGGCCTCAAGGACCAAATCAGACCTGCCCAATGATAATTCTGCAAATGGTCCAGTGAAAATGCACTGACCTTTATACCTCGGTCATCCCAGAACGGGGCCACAGTGCTGTCACCAACAGGAATGGACCTCCTTCTGTTCCACCACCTCAGATAGCCATACAGCTGGCCTGGATTTGACTCTGCAAAACCATGGGGGGGAAGCAAGACTAACATGGCTAAAGGCTTCCCTGTTGAAAGCCATTTTTGCAAAATAGCACTGCATCCGCCCCCTTCATGCACCCCAAAGCCAAGCCACTCACCCTTCTCTCCTTCGCTCCTACAGACCACAGCCCAGAACCCTCAGTTCAGAGTCTGGCACTGGATTCTGGAAGGTGGGACCAAAAAAAAAAAAAAACACACACACGCACGCACGCACACACACACAAATAAGTGGGGCCACTGGCTCCCTCCTTACAGGCAGGCACCGCCCTCCCGCTGCTCCCCCACTCCACCCCTCAACCTAGGAAAGGCAAAACCCAGTAGAGCCAGACTAAAAAATTTCAACCCTCCCTTTCATCTTGTTAGAGCCAGGTCACAAATAGGGCCATACTCGTGCCAACTGAGGGGTCAGGGAATGGGGGCCAGTGGATTCAATGACCCTATTCCCCAGACAAAGACAAAGGCCAACTGAGGGACCCTGGGCTTTCTAGGGACATTATTGCATCATTCCAATTCCCACTGGAGAAAAGAATCCCCCTGTCATTACCCAGCCCCACCAAATAAAAAAAGGGGAGGGGGAGAAAGGCAAAAACAGGGCAAGGCTCCCGTTTAGGAAAATCGTTACTTTTTCTTTTTGCTCGGGTCTGGCTACCCACTCCCCTCCCACAGCTGTGACCTGCTGGGGCGCGGCCACACCCCCTGCCCTTCTGGGCGGGGGGTGGGGCTGGGGGGGGGTGTCTGCTGTCGCAGCTACAGTGGCTGGGGGAGTGGAGGGGAAGACCATCTGAGACCTACAGGCTGACGTAGGTTTGAGGGCGGATTTTGCCTTAAGCGGCCCAGGAGCAGCCCGCGTCAGCGAGTCCGCGACCCCGCGAAGGGCCCCAGCCCTCCCCGCAGGGCCCTGACACACCCACTTGTCCGCGCTAGCGAACCGAGAAGCGGCCGAGAGCGCGCCAGGTCTCAGGGCTCCAGGGGAGCCACGTAAGGGGCTGGAGGCTGGGGCGCTGCCAGAGCGGGAGGGGGGCCCAGGCCCGCAGCACATCTGTCCGACAGCCTAGCAGCGGCGCCCAGCCGCCCCCCACCCCCGTCCCCGAGCCGGCTGGGCGCCGCAAGTCGCGGGATTTACCTGCCACGGGTCCAGCCACCCAGTCCAGACCTTTCCTCTACCTCCGAGCGCTTGGGCTGGCGGGGCTGGGGAGCCGCCGC